AAAGCGATATTATTGGGGTTTGTTCCAAGTAAGCACATCTGCTGTGCTACACAGTGGCAGTCTTTTTCCGAGCATTGATGCTCAGAGCCTTTATCCTCTATCCCTCTTCCCAGATGTGACTCCAGAGTCCTGCGTGTGTCCCCATTCGTCCCTTCTCCTCCTTCTTAGCAGCCCCAAGTACATCTACCATGTGCGCCCCAGTCCCAAGCCTTACAACTACAGTCCTGTTCCATTTTGGAGAGACATGAGTCTGGGGTCTTCCTGCCTCTTCTTTTGTTCCCCATGGGAGGCCTAAGTAGCGAGTTTATGCTTTGGTTAGGAACAGGCATTTCTCAGGCTTTGGGGGTTTCTTATGGCTGCCTATCCCATCATGCCTTGCCTCTTCCAACCGGTTGTTTGAAGTTGGCTTGAGAGAGGAGTCCTGCCTATGCTGATATATTACACTCTCACCATACCCTGTAACACCCTTTAGTTCTAATCTTTATTTCTTCCTATTCTACAGGCTGAACCTCTCTACTCTGGTACTCTTTGGTCTGGCATCATTTTAGTTTGCTTGATGTCCACTTGTTATGGGTGTAGTCAAGTTTTTGCAATCACATAACATTTGTTTATAGCCACCAGTCCTGCTTCTCTGTGTTCTCTGCTTTTATTTAACTTTATCTTACCTTTAAATGTGTTCTAAGAACCCAGTAAGCAGTAGAAACATTGGTGATACTGCCAGACAATATTGCCCACCTGTGGTTTGGTGCCAGACTAGAGACATTCAACCTGTATTAACAAACCCATCTGACCAGTTGATTTAATAATGCTATGTATAAATAAGTAATTGCTCAGTAATAATGGGCTGTGGCACTTTTGTATTTTCCTGTTTCACCCACGAAAACTCATGATATCATCAACATTTTTGGTTAGTCTCTAAGGGGCTGCAGGACCATTCATTGTTTTTTTAAGGTACAGACTAACACAGTTAACCCTCTGAGACCTGTCTGGTTTTTTTTAAGTAAGTAGGTTTTAAGGGAGGTGAAACTGGCAGCCTGCAAGACAAGCCAGACTCCTGAAAGGGGTACAGTAGTCTGGAAAGGTTGGGAGCAGAACAGAGAATCATCAAGTGATCATCCCCTGTCACCCATTCCCAACCTCTGGCAAACACAGGGTAGGGAAACCATCTTTAGGTCCATCAATGGCTATTAGCCAGCATGGCTATTATCCATGAATTCATCTAGCTCTTTTTTGAACCCTGATCATTTGGTGACAAAGATCAAGCCAAGTGCCAACAACGAGGAAAGAGAAAATACATCCAGTTTTAAGCATACACTTTAATGTAAAAATGATGGAATTCCAAAATGCACATGAAAATTGGAAAACGAGCCTTGACATTTTTTCATTCATTGAACAAAATTAAATAAATTAACATAAAACCCTCACACAACAGCAGGAACTTCACATATTTCATTTTCATACGGAATTAGCGTATTAGAATAAAAATCCAGATGAATCAAAATACCATAAATAAATAAAGTTTGAATTCTTTGACTCAAATATTAACTTTTTAAATAGAGAGAGAGTTATAAAAATGATGTGCTACAGCACAATAAATAATGCCCGCCCGAGAACAGCACTTTGGCAGCTTCATTTCAGAAACCACAAAACCCCAGCCAGTAGCCATGACTCCAGAGTGCTTTTGTTACAACATGCCTGAGCACGGGAGGGGTAAGTGTCATCACTGTACTGCTCTAATAGCAAAAGAGCCTGGCTGATAATAAATGAAGCTGCGCTTGCACTGCATTGCACTCCTGAAACTGTGTCCTGCCAAAGTCATTTCCGAGTCTTCATTTCATCAGCAAATCACTTTTTCCTATCCAATCTTCTCAGCTTTACAAAGTACCATATTCTATAGAACAGGAAGAACCTCAGGTCTATTATCTAACGACCAACCGTTCCTTAAGGTAGGATATTGCTGTTATTTGACTGGATTGAGAGACAATTTCTGTGAAAACTTGCTATGCTCTGAGGAGTAACCGTCAAACAGTTTGTGCTAAGAAGTACCTAGTTATTCCTTTAAACTAATTGAGGACAAACAACTCACTCCCCTCTCCCCAGATGGCAGCCTGCGGCAAGTGCAGCCGGTCTGATGGCCGAGTGCTGTGATGTGCCCAGTGTGGGTCGTCCGGGCACTCCAAGCCAGGACTGCTTTGCAAGCGGGGCACCCCTGAGAACTGTCTGTCCGGGGTGGGGGTCGGGACCCTTTAAGCACAGCCCTCGGCTAGCCTGAGACAGCATCTCCACGCTCTAAGTCCTCCTCTGATGCCCTGCCGGCACTGCTTCCGGCCATCCTTAAGCCCGGTTCAGGGTCCACTTAATGTGGACATGCTAGTTCGAATTAGCAAAACGCTAATTCGAACTAGTTTTTAGTTCTAGACCTGGTCTTCCCCGTGCAATCTGTACAGTGCAAGGTAAAAGAATGCAAAGGAGCAGATTTCATAGGAGGACCCCAGATTTCACAGTTTTATGGCTGTGAATTTGGTAGGGCCCTTCCCATAATGTTTTAATAAAGAAACCTCCAGCAACCATCCACTTCTCTGTACGATTGCATGAAAACAGTAGAATGGATTTCTCTCGCCAAGCCTTCTGATGAAGGGGGCAAAACTGCCCAGGGGCCTGGAGCTCTGACCCCTTTAAATTGCTGCCAGAGCCCCATGCAGCATGGTCCAGGTGGCTGTCTGCCCTCAGCCCTACCCATTCTACCCTCAGCTGTGCCTCTTCTGGGAGCATGGTGCTGCCCCCTCCCCGCCTAGATGAGGGGCATGGCATGGAGGATTGTCCCACTGTAGTAGTGGCTGGGTTGGTTGGACTCTGCTAAAAATGTGTTTAATAGCTGAGGCAAACGAATCCCTATTTGGTCCCCAAGGCAGGCAAGCAGACAGTCCCCACCAGTGCTAATGTGGCTTAGAGATTAGACAGTTGCTGCATGCACCAGATATCAGCACGGCAGCACTCACCTGACTACCTCTGTTCTCCAGGGGGAATAATATGAAGCATTAGCAGAGTTTGATATTTCTGAAATGTGTTTAATAGCTGAGGCAAACGAATCCCTATTTGGTCCCCAAGGCAGGCAAGCAGACAGTCCCCACCAGTGCTAATGTGGCTTAGAGATTAGACAGTTGCTGCATGCACCAGATATCAGCACGGCAGCACTCACCTGACTACCTCTGTTCTCCAGGGGGAATAATATGAAGCATTAGCAGAGTTTGATATTTCTGCAAGAATGGAAAGCATGTTATTATTCTAAAAATGTTCCTTCCCCAGAGCTAAAGCTTTCTCTCTCCCCCCTCCCACCTCCCACTGTCTCTCCCACGGAGCATCCCCACACACACACGTGACAGCATTGTTTTGTCTCCCATGGGATCTGCTTGAGCTGCAATAGGCGGAGAGCTGGTCTCTGAGGCTGTGTCTAGACTACATGCCTTTGTCGTCAGAGGCATGTAGATTAGACACATAGGCAAAGGCAAATGAAGCCGCGATTTAAATGATCACGGCTTCATTTAAATTTACATGGCTGCCACGCTGAGCCGACAAACAGCTGATCAGCTGTTTGTCTGCTCAGCGCGCTAGTCTGGACACTCCCCTGTCAACATCAAAGCCCTTTGTCGGCAGCCCTGTTATTCCGCGTGGGATGAGGTTTACCGGGGCTGCCGACAAAGGGCTTTGATGTCGACAGGGGGGGGTC